TCCATTGAAGAACCCATCAATCCTTAAGCAAGCTTGGATTTTAGCGGATGCCCATTGGTCGAAAGCTTGCATTCCCCAAATAGGGTTCCCTCCTCCATATTCAAGCTCAAAGAAAATCTCCTTTGATTTGGTAAGTTCTTCTTTCCAATCTTCTTATTTTCTTGTAAAGATTGCATCTTTAGGCTTGTAGTAGGCTTGGGTTGTGTATGCATTATATTTTGGGGGGTTTTGTGCAAAAGGGGCAATATGGCCGAATTTTTTGAGGGGCTTATTTGCAAAATAGGGGCTGAAATTCGTGGGGTTTTTTATGCAAAATTGGAACTGAAATTTTGGGATTGAATTCGTGTCCCTTTGGTGAAACATTGTGAGGGGTGCTTTATGCAAGAGGATCAAAGGGTTATTTGAGGGGTTAATTTGCAAAACAGCCCATAAATGTTTTAGGGGGCTTATTTGCAAAAGGGCAGCGAATTTAGGGCTGACATCCAATGAGTTTTGATCGCGAACTCATGATCAAAATTTTAATAAAGGCATGTGGAGACCAAACCAAGATTTTGTAGAGGGGCTTTTATGCAAAATTGGCTAAATTCTGCAAAAGGGCTCATTTGCAAACTTTAACCAAAATTGTGGGGTACCGGGGTGTTATATGATCGAATGTGACGATCATGACCCGGGTCACGCGTGTCCTTGACCTAAACTTTGGCCTTGAACACGAAGGGTATTTTGGGTATTTCACCAAAATTCACCGTGAAAGATGACAATCATCATTTCGCATGCATGAAATTTGTAGGTTTAACTAGACTTCAATTATGAAATCCTATTTATGTATAGGATTTTAATTAAAGTTCTCAATTTCCCTTTTAAATTTCGTGTATGCATATTTTAGATTTCCCTTTTAAATTTCGTGTATGCATGTTTTAGATTGTACCTGACTTGTTGCTTTTCGTTGCAGATCGGCAATGTCTCCGCGTCGATCTCGACCCCGTAGGAGTCGTTCCCATTCTCAGCATAGTGAGGAAGAGGTTCCCTCAACATCTTCCCCTGCGGCCTCCTTTTTCGGGGGTGAGGATTTATGCAGATTATTATTTTTTGCATCCCTGATTGACCTCTTTTGCGGGTCATGAAGGAAGAACCGATACCTCTCTCGCGGAGGGTAAGGTTTCAGACTTGTTTTGCTTAGCCAATTCAAGTCTTCCGGTATATTGGGGCGATTTTGTGTCGTCCTACACCTTATAGGCCGGTGTATGTTACCACGTTATTCACGTGATGACGCATACCGTTCTTCCGGTGTAGGACACTCAAAATCGTCACTCCAATTATTCCGTGGATGAGCTTATCATTCTTCTTATGAATTTTCTGACTCCACCCTTACGCTTTATTGCAGTGGAATTTCCCGCGGGTAGCCTTCCCTCTCACGCCAACACCGGCTGTAGTCGGGAAGTTTTCTCTTCAGCCTCCCTTAGGCAGGTTGTTAGCCCACTTCCTCGGTTCGATAGAGGTCGCTCAGATGACTCTTGTCGCTTAGTACGGGAAGGAGGGCGCCATTGCTTGCGCCAGCTTATCACAGACGCCACCTTTACCGCTGATTCTACTTCCACTCAGGCTTTACAGAAGCCGAGCTTCTTGTTCGGGGATCATGTCGAGGACCCCGCTATACTGACTCTTGGAGAGGAGCACTGGCTGACTTTTGATGGTGGAGCTTGTTTGTACATCCCTTCGATTCCACGCCAATATTCCTTCAGTCACTTGAAGGGGCAGGCCGTGGACAGGCAGATGTCTTGGCCTCTTACTGAAGATGCTGAGCGGGTTCAGTGCGGATATGTCACTCACCACAAGACCCCCGGCTCTAACGGATATCCTGACGTTCGTGGTCTTCGACCTGGGATTATGGGTCTTGACACTGCACCCCCAGGCGAGGTGTCAGCAGCTGCTCTCCCACTCAGGCTTTACAAAAGCCGAGCTTCTTGTTCGGGGAACATGTCGAGGACCCCGCTATACTGACTCTTGGAGAGGAGCACTGGCTGACTTTTGATGGTGGAGCTTGTTTGTACATCCCTTCGATTCCACGCCAATATTCCTTCAGTCACTTGAAGGGGCAGGCCGTGGACAGGCAGATGTCTTGGCCTCTTACTGAAGATGCTGAGCGGGTTCAGTGCGGATATGTCACTCACCACAAGACCCCCGGCTCTAACGGGTATCCTGACGTTCGTGGTCTTCGACCCGGGATTATGGGTCTTGACACTGCACCCCCAGGCGAGGTGTCAGCAGCTGCCTCTACTGTGAGTAATCGTCTAGCTCTTTTGGGGAGACGGTTACCTCCACCAGAATACAGATGCTATGGCTGGGCTTCCTCACTAGCCAAAGGGTGGTGGGCTCGCATGACTGATTTCGTCTTGGCGCGCTGGGAGAGGGATCTGAAGAGCAGTGGGTTGTACGTGCCCATACGAGCTACTATGTACGGAATCCCAGTCAGCTGTCGCCATTTCTTGGCTTTGCTGGAGACCTACATGCCTGACAGCAACACTTTTCTGACCAGTGGTGGTGAGCTAGGGCTAGCCTTGCATGAGATGCATTATGTTTCGGGTCTTCCGATGGGAGATTGTCCGTATCAGGAGTATTTCCCCTCGAACCAGCAGCTGGAGTGTATGAAGAAAGATACTCCCGACATGTATGACACTCTCTGGGATCTTACCTGTCATTATCACACCTCCTTGGTTCAGACTTCTCCTCAAGCGAAGAGGAAGAGGCAGGTCAGTTTGAAGCAGTTTGCCTGCTATTTGTTTCAGAACTTGGAGGGTAACTCCGACGAGTCTGTTCATGAGCTAGATATATTGCCCCCTTCTGCGGTTAATGAGTTGCTGGAGAAGACTGAGGCTCAATCTTACACTATTGCCAGTGCTGAGGGAACTTTTCCCGCGGGGACCAAGTTTCGCTCTTTTCTCCGCCGTGCCCAGAAGTCCATTGGGCCCCGGACTCTATTAGCAGGCTATCTCGCCCTTTGGTTGAAGAAGTGTGTCGTCCCGCATCAGTCTTCAGACGCTCTACCCATCGAGGTGCTCTTCCCTGCAGTTCAGCTAGCCTACGGGAGAGAGCTTTCCCTGCTCCCAGCAATGGTTGCTAGCATCCATTGCGGGCTCAGGGGTCTGGTCAGTAGTTTCACACATATGGGCTCTGCACCATCAGCTGAGCTTGTTTGTCCGAAGGTTGAGCTCCCTTATGCATATCTGATGGCGTGGTTCGTTCTTCACCGTCCTGACTTGATGTCAGCGCCCAGTGTTGTTGACATCCCCGTCCCCTTCATACAGCTGTTGGAGAAGAGCAGATGGCTCGGGAACAAGTTTAGTGATGTGCAGCAAGAGCTTCGAGTCCGCAAGAGTTGGGAATTCTTTAAGTGTTTCCCTCATTTTTCAGGTCGCTATGGCGACGCGCTGGTTGATGAGGAGAAACCCAGAAGCGATCGGACTATTCTCGATGCTGGTTGTTTCCGGTGGCTAGTGAACATCCGTGTTGGATATCTTGTCCTCCGGGTGAAGAACCAGTGCTACATAGAGCCTTATCTCCCTTGCCGCTTTGCTCGCCAGTTCGGTTACGACCAACTGTATGTTGGGAATCCGAGCCGTAGCCTTCAGGTTGAGGGAGGATTGATTGATGGCGTACGAGCGTGGCTATGGACGATGGTGGGATGTACTGGAGCTCGCTTTGCTCTTCCTTCGTATAGGCGTAAGCCACTGATCACTTTCCTCAGCTGCAAGTGGTTGCTTTCTGCCTATGAGTCCATCAGCGTGAAGAGCCTCTCAGAGTTGCAGTCCGAGTATGCAGTCCGGGCTGCTATGGTGGCGATTCGCAAGGCTGAGCTTGCTCGGAAGCGGAAAAAAGGGCATGCCAAATCTCTTCTCACAGACGAAGAAGAGCTCCTCCCTACGGATGATGATGATGAGACCTCCGAGGAAGAGTGTGTGGATGCAGATACCGGCAGAGGGGATCTCGATACCGGTTTGTCCTGTCTCTTTTAATTTTCCTTTTCCATAAATGACAGCTCTTTTTCATTGAAATGGCTATTGTCATTTTAGGTAGGACAGCCGGTGATCATGAGCCCTCAGCTCCTACACACGTTGAAACGTGTGATAGGCCTGCGCATGTTCAACCCGTTGGCCCTCGGAGGGTGGGTGCTCCGAAGAGGAAGAAGACCGCCCATAAGCCCCATGACGGTCAGCGTCCCTATGGAGTGGACTTAGGGAGCACCGCTGATGGAGGGGGAGGTAACATTCAATTGCTCTTGCTTCAAGGTTGTTTACCTTTTGGGGATTTGTGACCATGTTTTGTGCTTCAGGTTTCTTCGAGGAGGGCGAACTCCCACCGGGTTCGGCGTCCCCTGGCGTTGACAACATGGATTGCTTTGTGCAACAAATGTGCGACGCTTTTCACGATGGGTCTTTGGGCATCGACCTTAACATCGATCTTGAGCAGATAAGTAATGTCGAGCCCACAATCCCTTATTCAGGTATATCCGCATCCAATGTCATTTTCCTTATGTAAGGTGAAGGAAGATTTCTCGTTTGAGCTTTCCTCATCCTTCAACATTTGGGTTACCCTGCAGATGTTGCGATGGAGGGGCCAAGCTTCTCGAAGCCGGATGCCGGCTTATTAGCTGACATGCTGGCTGAGCAGACTTCCAGAGGGACCGAGAGACCATTCTTCGGGAACGATTCATCTACCGGTATATATCTGATTTTCTCCCTCTTGCCCGATATTTCATATGACTAATGAATGATTGATTATCGCAGCGTCTACCATTGGAGTTAGCCCGGTATCTATCCCTGGCATATCCAGTTTGCCTCAGAGCGACGGGCTTGCAGGTATGTATACGATTCAGGGATATTGTACTTTCCTATGTTTATCTGTCTTTTGACTAATGAGTGCAATCATAGGACCAGCCGCTAGGACTGATTCTCATATGACTCCTGACATCCCTCAAATGCCCGCGGATAATGGATCTACAGGTATGCAGATCCCAATTCTTCTTATTCGTCTAAATTTTCATTTTGACTAATAAGAGAGTGTCATCATAGGACCAGCAGCTTGGGCCGATACTCTTATGACTCTTGGCATTCCGGCTGCATCTGAGGACATGGGGATTGCAGGTATTCATACGACCTTCTTATCCCGATTCTCCTTATTTGTCCAAATTTCCATTTGGGTTAACATAGGAATGTCACTGTAGGACCAGGCGTTCAGCCTGATACTGCTACAGTCCCCGGGGTTGAAAGTCCTCATAGCAGTGGTGCCTCCCCGTCTCTGCCGAGCGGTGTGAGCACTCCGCCTGTAGGGGCTGACGTACCCTCTTCTGCTGCTGTCCCGGATGTCGCAACGCGTTGACTGGCGTTGACCTAGGGTTACGCGTTGACCGGCGTTGACCCTTAGGGTTTTGAATCGTCGAACGTCGATTGGTGTGGATTTTCATCCTCGAACGTTGACTTTTGTCGCAACGCGTTGACTGGCGTTGACCTAGGGTTACGCGTTGACCGGCGTTGACCCTTAGGGTTTTGAATCGTCGAACGTCGATTGGTGTGGATTTTCATCCTCGAACGTTGACTTTTGTCGCAACGCGTTGACTGGCGTTGACCTAGGGTTACGCGTTGACCGGCGTTGACCCTTAGGGTTTTGAATCGTCGAACGTCGATTGGTGTGGATTTTCATCCTCGAACGTTGACTTTTGTCGCAACGCGTTGACTGGCGTTGACCTAGGGTTACGCGTTGACCGGCGTTGACCCTTAGGGTTTTGAATCGTCGAACGTCGATTGGTGTGGATTTTCATCCTCGAACGTTGACTTTTGTCGCAACGCGTTGACTGGCGTTGACCTAGGGTTACGCGTTGACCGGCGTTGACCCTTAGGGTTTTGAATCGTCGAACGTCGATTGGTGTGGATTTTCATCCTCGAACGTTGACTTTTGTCGCAACGCGTTGACTGGCGTTGACCTAGGGTTACGCGTTGACCGGCGTTGACCCTTAGGGTTTTGAATCGTCGAACGTCGATTGGTGTGGATTTTCATCCTCGAACGTTGACTTTTGTCGCAACGCGTTGACTGGCGTTGACCTAGGGTTACGCGTTGACCGGCGTTGACCCTTAGGGTTTTGAATCGTCGAACGTCGATTGGTGTGGATTTTCATCCTCGAACGTTGACTTTTGTCGCAACGCGTTGACTGGCGTTGACCTAGGGTTACGCGTTGACCGGCGTTGACCCTTAGGGTTTTGAATCGTCGAACGTCGATTGGTGTGGATTTTCATCCTCGAACGTTGACTTTTGTCGCAACGCGTTGACTGGCGTTGACCTAGGGTTACGCGTTGACCGGCGTTGACCCTTAGGGTTTTGAATCGTCGAACGTCGATTGGTGTGGATTTTCATCCTCGAACGTTGACTTTTGTCGCAACGCGTTGACTGGCGTTGACCTAGGGTTACGCGTTGACCGGCGTTGACCCTTAGGGTTTTGAATCGTCGAACGTCGATTGGTGTGGATTTTCATCCTCGAACGTTGACTTTTGTCGCAACGCGTTGACTGGCGTTGACCTAGGGTTACGCGTTGACCGGCGTTGACCCTTAGGGTTTTGAATCGTCGAACGTCGATTGGTGTGGATTTTCATCCTCGAACGTTGACTTTTGTCGCAACGCGTTGACTGGCGTTGACCTAGGGTTACGCGTTGACCGGCGTTGACCCTTAGGGTTTTGAATCGTCGAACGTCGATTGGTGTGGATTTTCATCCTCGAACGTTGACTTTTGTCGCAACGCGTTGACTGGCGTTGACCTAGGGTTACGCGTTGACCGGCGTTGACCCTTAGGGTTTTGAATCGTCGAACGTCGATTGGTGTGGATTTTCATCCTCGAACGTTGACTTTTGTCGCAACGCGTTGACTGGCGTTGACCTAGGGTTACGCGTTGACCGGCGTTGACCCTTAGGGTTTTGAATCGTCGAACGTCGATTGGTGTGGATTTTCATCCTCGA